CCCCAAAACCCCAAAACCCCAAGATGATACTTATATGATTCATGAAATTAAGTTTAAATTAGAGTAGATAGCTGAATTTATAAGTTAAGATAGTCATAAGAAAAATTAATTATTGTTGTTTTATCCATGATGATGATAGTTTAACTTTTCCATTTGAAGTTATTATTGTTATTGGTGATAAGAAAGTGGGTTATTACTCGAGTTTACTCTATTTGCAACAGTATTACTACTACCACCCAACATCATACCATAGTTTTTTTGATTTTGATGATTTTCTAGATCAGATACTGAAAAGTCGGTAGGTATAAAGTCTGTTTAAGTTCTTAGAGAAGGCAATGCTGCTGGCATGTTGCACATTAGCGGATTGAAACATAACTCCAAGTTTTAATCTCTCATATAGTAAGGCTATTGTTATTGATGAAGATTGTTTTGCAAAGTAGATGTTGTTGCAGTTGAATTGCTACTGCCAAAATTGTTTTACTATATATTACCTAGATCATTATGATCAAGACTCACACTTCCATTTAGGTCCATGCTGAAAGTAGTATTTAATTTTAAAGTAGACTTTCTAACATGTTAACTGTATCTTAAAATTTCATATTCATTTTCAAAATCTGATTTGATAGCATATCGACCTGCTCTATCTTCATTTTAGGATTTTTAAATATTTCTTTGGTTATTATTAATACCTTCTTATTTTATTTTTACTTTTTCCTGTTACTACAAGTTTTATTATTTATCATTTAACCCCTTTTTAAGAGTGTTCAAAATTTGATGCTATTGTTAGTTTATCTTATCTTATTAATTCTTCAATTATAATGAAAATGAAGTAGACTATTGCTGCTACTACTTTTAATTATGAGCTTAATTAGAATTTTAATTTGATTATGTAGATGAGTGGCTTTACTGCAAATTACCACTACTGTGATCAATTGGTTCTTCTTTGATGTTATCGTATTTTTGCTATAGGCTATAGTCCCCGTTTGAGTTCTTTTTATGATAGTTTGAATGATTTTTAGTCTTTTGACCTATAATAAGTGGATGATTGTGATAATGAATGGCCTGAAAAAACTCAAAATAATCCTTTCCAACTTGTTTAGTGAATTTTAGTCTAAATGGACAATTTGATTTTTTGGACTAGCATCTTCCATCCTATTTCATGTAACCTGCTTAGGACCCTTTAAAAAGATCTTAATAGAGAAGTTATTGATATAGCATACATACCTACTCCCCTAGAGTAATCTGGATACTAGCCATCCTCAATTTTAAAGCTTCCATTTGGACCTCTCTCAAGTTCCTTCATTCTATTTCGCTTTTTTCCATACTAATGGCAATAAAGGGTTATTTGTAAAGTTCTATCTTGTAGAGTGATGTCTCCCCTTGGAATACCTATATAAGATGTTATTTCTTAATAATAAACTATTTAAGTATACATATTTAGAAACCTCTTTCGAGTCCAAATGACCTCACACATGAAATCACTTCATCTCAGCTAGAATACCTTCTATTTTTCAAATTATTTTCAATATCTCGTTCTAGATTTGCTTGATCATATTCTCTTAGTTGGTTAGTAGTTTACGAGATAGCCCCGCCATGAAGACTTTTTAAAGATTAATCACTACAATTAGATTAATGGGGACTATCATTATTATTGAGTTTAAGTGATTTTTTTTGTCCTTAACTATTTTTTATTTGCTTCTTTTGCTGATCTTCTTATCATGGTGTTGAGATATTCGTATTGCTTTAATTTATTGACATATTTGTGCTCTCAGTATGCTTTTAGGGACTCTGCTCGATAACCCTTTCAGATTAATTTGCTAGTATTTAGCAGCTAAGACCAGCAGTATTAATATCTTAGTATAAGTTATTCAAGATTCTGGATTGAGCTGGTATGTTGGCCACTAATCTAGGATATTCTACATCAAATTTCGCAAGATTAGCCAATCCTTCTTCTTCAGCATCTCTAACTTATCGGGATTTGTACTCATCTATTATATTTACTGGTTAAAAATCATCTGACTATATGGTATCTTCAGTGTTTCTTAGTATTTATTATGTAGATGGAAGAGTATTAAGACTCGAGTTTACATTTACTGGTGAATTTATATGAGATATCTAAGGCTATTACTCTGAACCAGTTTAAATACTGTTATTCTTTATTAGCTCGACCTATATTTTATCATTCTTCTCAATAAGTCCAATGTCATCAATAACTTCACCTATATGTTTACTTTTACTTAAATTTGTTTTGCCAATTAAAGCTTACCACTCTAAAGAAGGAGTCTATTTATTAATGCCTCTTATTTTATCCCAAATTTTGTTCTGATCCTTTCTCCTAAACTTATAATTGTATCATTTTCCTTATCAACTAGCATTAATACAGGTCTAACTTTGTCAGTATTTTTAATTGCTATAGAAACCCTGACAGTCCTCTATTAACCATTAGTCGTGTTAATTTTATTATTCTTGTTATCGCTTTTCAAATATTGCCTATCAGTATTATTAAATCTTTTGTTAAATGATTAATGCTACTATTTAATATTATTATTTTTCCGCAGTTATGAAATGGTAGAAAATGCCATAGAATGCTCATTCTAATCTACAGCTAGTGATTCATTTAAATACATCTAGTTGCTCTCATTATCCACTTCAGCCAAAGTTGAGATTAAATCGCTAGGATATTAATTTTACTTTTGAACTTGCCTGTAAATCCCAGCTGTGTTTTCAATTTAATCTTTTTTGAATGAAGATCGAGGTGACAATAGGTGTGGTTTCTAAGGCGTACTGTTGATATTAGTACTGCTTGTGGAACTTGCTAGACCAATATGCTTGATAGAGGTGGTGGCCATTTATTCGATCTTGAAAATTTCTTAATAATTAGGATTTTGTGGAGAAAATTTCTGATTTGATAAGAAATTAAAAAATTTAAGACGAAAATAGTGTAATTTTTAGAAATTCTTACAATTCTAATAATAAAAACCTTTTGATTTTCGTGGTAATTAATTTCTTAATTTATATTAAACTATACTCATGGGGTTTTGGGGTTTTGGGG